AGGAATGCCAGCCTAAAACCTCCCTGTGCGGAGGCACGCGTCAGAGGAGACCAGAGATCCAGAGAGGGTGGGGAGAAAGTGTCTTTCACCCCAAGTCACCGGTTCCTCTGATCCAGCCCTGGCTGATGACGACTCAGTCGTTAGCACTTGGGAGCAGCTCCCTCCCAGAGAGACGGGTGCTGGCTCAGGTTGCAGAATAGTCAACCCTCACGATGGGCAACTTTGCAGTTTGAACATGGGTCAGAGATGGAGCAAAGCGCTGCCCCCTTCTCTCCAGGGAGCAGATGGACGGGCAGATTAGGAAAAATGTCGCCCTGTCTGCTTCGCCAGGCTAGTACGTTAGGAAGCATCTGCTGCTGTCTCCAACCCTGAAGAAGGGCACGCGCATGGGAGGCAGAGAGAGCTGGTTTCAAGGGACAAAAAAGCTTTGAAGGAAAAACATAGGCTCAAGTCAGTTGTTAAGCAAGAGCTAAAGATGCCAGGCGGCCGTGCCAGCTTTGCATGGGATGAGCAAAGAGCCATAAGCTGCACAGATCCATTGAAATCGGCTCGCTCGGTAACTTCGCAGCTGCATTAGCTTCTCTGGACCCCAGGAATATTGACCACGTATGTTCCCAGGGGCTAGTCCTCCGAGGGAGGAGAAACGTAGGGCAGCGCATGTCTGCGCAGTTGCTTCCTTGCTGTTCATGCACCTGCTCGGTGCGAGCCCTGGAAGCAATCGCAGCTCTTGCAAACTGTGTGTTGGGGCAGAGCCTCAAACCCCATAGCTCCCGCTGCGCTGTAGGTGCCCGGCCTCCGAAACGCTTTCCTACCCCTTCCCTTCCACATGAACGAATTCCCACGGCCAGGTAGGTCCCTGCCGGGGCAGGAGAGGTTCAGGGTGGGCTCCTCCTTGCTCTTTGATCATGTTTTTAAAGGAGCAGGAAACTCATTTGATAACTCCCTCCGCGGAGGAGCTGAGAACACACGTCGCTGTTTGCCGTTTGCATGCGAAGAGCTCACCCTTGCCGTTCGCCTGCCTTGGGCACGCTGGGAGGTGGCTCCTGTAACCCCATTTGGGAGCGAAAGAGTGACTTGTTGGCCATAGAGACTAGAAATGGCTCGCTGGGCTGTTCGACTTGCCTGCTTGTTGGAGGTCCTTTTGCGGCTGAAGCCACTGGGCTAGCGTGGTCTCTCTGTAGCCAGTGGCACACAGCGGAGTGATGAAGCTGGCATCACATCCAGCTGGTATCTTTGATCCCAACCCATGCGGCCAGGTCCCTATTTCTAGCTGGGCTGACCGGGAACACCAAGCAGCGCCCCTGCCCTCGTCCCAGCAGCACGGCCCACCCGCAGCCCACTGCGGAGGTCGGGCCGTGTCCTTCTCGCCCCGCTCTCCCCCCTCCAGAGCGAGGTGAGAGAGCCGAGGCCTCTCGCAGAGATGGGCAGAGAGGCGATGGATTCACAGATTGCGTGGCCGGCAGGGACCGTGATGTTCGTCTCATCTGACCTCTCGCGTAACGCGGGCCATTCAATTCCACCCAGTAACTCCTGCATCCAGCGTCACGACTTGTGCTTGGGCCAGGGCATCCCTGTCAGCCAACCACAGCCCTTGGGAAGCGGCTCTGGGAGCGAATGACGGCACCCCCGGGACCCCCTGCCACACGCCCGCTAAAAACACCCACGCTAAAAGCAGGCACGCGCTTTCCAGGTGAATTGGTCTCACTTCGGTTTGGAGCCAGTGGCTCTTGCGCTGCTGTTGTCTGGTAGCGGCTCTTTGCCATCTCTGCCTGGGTCCTCGGAGGGGAAAGCAGAGCTCGGGGAGGGGGCTAGATTTGGTTTCCCGTCCCACCTGCAGTAGACAGCACGGTCTAGCGAGTCGAGAACTGGGCTTCTCTTCCTGCACCTAGGCAGACATGGGTGGCTTTGTTCGTTTAGCTCCTTCCCCCCCCAGTTAGACCCAGTCGCTCCACCTGGGTCCTGGGTAATGGGATAGCACCGGCTGGAGAAAGTCTCATTTGTTTCCCATTTTCCAACCGGGTCCTTTGCATTTTTTTTGTATGCTTCATCACGGCTGTGGCCCGCTGTGCTTGGATCACCCTCCGCTGTATTTGTAGGCTGTAGCACCTCGTTCTGGATCATGCCGTCGTGCACTAGGGCACCGTACAAACCAAGGGCACTCCCCGAAGAACACCCCAGCCCTGCTCTCCCACCCTCTCCCACGGCAGCAGACAGACAGTCTGATCCACACCAGTTCAGGGTTTACGTTCCCTTTTTCAAATTGGACCAACGGGGGGGATGCAATATTCAGTCATGTTCCACTCAATGTGTAGATGTCTCTGTCAAGAATAAAAATAAACTCCGATTTAGTAGAAACACACATCTTGGTTTGGAGATTGCATTTCGTCTGGGGCTCGCGTCGAATCTTGATTTTTTGGCCAGTCCAATCAAAGCCTTTGCATTGAAAGCCAACCAAACCTGTGGTTCTCTACCTCCTTAGACTCGAGGCCCCGCTCGGAAAATGCCAGCTCTTCGCTTTCACTCCTTTCCTACCAACAGGGAAAAAAAGAGGGGGACAAATTCTTCTGTTGCAAAGATCTGGTAGACACAGACCCCGGCAGGGCAGAGCTGTTCCGGCACGCCACGTCCCTGTTCGAAATCGCCGGGTTTATCTTGGGTATCACACGTAGGTAGGGGTTTGCACATCTAACGGTGCTAGTGTTGTGTGGCACCCTCAGAAGGATCTCGTGGCATCCCAGTCGAGAATTGCTGGCATAAAAGTTGCAGCACTTCAGCTCTGCCGGCTCACGTCAGGGGAATGAGATGCTAGGTGCGAGTAGGAGCAGTCAGCATGTTTTTAAACCAAAAGCCAGTTTTTCAAAGGAGGAAAAAACCATCCTTATCCAAAGGTGTTGGTTCTAGCCATGTTGGCCTAAGGACTGAGGAAGGGTGTTTGTGCCCAAAGGCTTGCAAAGAACAATTTTTCCACCTATTGAGCTGGTCTAACAAAAGATATCACATTTATGCAAAAAACCTTGTCTGTCCTTATCCAAAAAACCTTCTCCCCAGGCCCAAAGGGACGGTGAATTTTGGGAGGCAGGCTTTTTTCCTCCTTTCTTGGAAAAGACATGCTTTGATTTTTATTTTTTTTTAAAGGCTTTCATTTGAAAAACACAATCAAGATGGTGAAAACGCTCACTATCACTTTGGAGAGCAATCGATAGAAGCAGCTCTCCTGGGGGCAGCGGGAACAAAGAAATGCGTACAGTTTGGGGTTGATTCTGTGAAAACACATCCGCGGTTTTGGGGGAAGCTTTCTGGGTTTTTCAACCCGTTCGACACCTCTGTATTGCCTCTCCCTGCAAACCGAACAGGCAAAAGCAAAAAAGGAGAGAGAGAGACAAGCCGTTGGATCCCTTTAAACCATCAAAACCTTTTCTCCATGCTCAGGACAGCTGCCAGGCTGTCAGACCCATTGGAAACAAATGCTCTAGATAGTCACACTTCATTATTTTCTTTTTAAGGCCTGGTTTTCACTGATCCTGGATATTTTTAAAGCAAACTAGGAAATACTTTCACCTCTCATTGCCTAATGGATTGGATGCGAAGAACATTTCTTTGGCAAGTGAACGCCCCGGGAAGTTGTTTGACGTGTCACAGCATTATAGATCGGTTCCCCCCGCCTTTAGAGCTCAGCGTTTTCCCCTGCCTGCTGCTATTTACAGTAGGGCTCGATTTAATTTACGACCGGTCTGCGTGTGACCTTGCGTTTGTCTGGGAGAGTTAACCACAGCTTCCCTGCGTGCAGACGCCTCGCTTTACATTTATGGGATGAATTTAGGGCTCCGGAAAGGAGAAGGAGTTGAAGGCACTGGAGAAAGGGGTGGGGGAGCCTCAGGCTGAAGGAGAAATAAAAGCAAGTTTTCCCACTGCTGTTTAGTTAACACGTCTCTGATGTTTCTGGCGCAAATTAGATAAGGCCTCGAAGAGCACAGAGAAAGCCTTGGGGGCTGCTGAGGTGGAAATCTTCCCCTTCTACCTCCCACCCCAAAGCCACTCAACGAAACCCCTGGTCCTTGCTCTCATGCGGGGCTGCGGCAAGCTGCCAGGCCGGCACGTTCGTCAGCAACGAGCATCCATTCAAATCCACCCCAACAGCTTCACCCAACTGAGCTGTTGGGCTGCCACGCCAACCAAGTAATTGCAATTAAGACTTTTTTTATTTTTCAAGTGGAATCAGGCTCACGGAGGCTTCTCATTGGCTTGCCGCTAAATCACAGTTTAGGGCGCAGTTGGCTGCGAGTGGCGTTGTTGTGTGTGGGGTTTGGGGTTTTTTTTTTACATTGCAATCTGTTCAGTTATTTCCTTTTCCAGCACTGGGAGAAAGCTGACAGCGGATCAGGCTGCAGAAGTCTTGTGCTGCTGCAGAAGCGTGTGTGCATGCATGGGTGTGTGCATGCACATGCATGTGGGTGTGCATGCATGTACATCCCCACATCCCTAACTTGTCTAGTCCCCTCCTTTCAAATGGAAAAAATATCCAACCCCTCCAGAGTCGTCCTTGGAACCGGGTCTGCTTGCAAAGCCCCGCGACCGCACAACTAGCAGCGCACACGCTGATGCCAAACGGTAACACAACAGCAAGACGGGCTCTGTCTGTAGCAGGGGCAGGCAGCCTGTGGCACAGGGGACAGAAGAAGCGACACGGGCAGCTTCTGCAGGTGACATGCGGTACAGGGACAGATATGGCAGGAAGCAGACGGCCAAGCGGCAAATTGGGCAGGGAGCAAAGGGAAAGGAGCAGAAAGGCGAGCAGCAGATCCAGCTGGACGGCAGTGTGGACGTACGCTGGCGATGCTGGGGGTTGCACACCTCCACATCAGTCACTGCGTTGTAGAAACACAAGCAGGACTTTACCAGGCGGGACTCAGAACCACAAAATCATAGAAAACGAGGGTGTGATGGGAGCTCAGGAGGCCACATC